ATTAGTGATTAGCAAAAAGTAATTAAATGTCAATAAATAAAGCTTATCACATTTTCTCAATAACGGTATATTAAAGAATTTTTTTTTTTTTTACAGTTGGAAAATAAAAATAAATAGGATAACAATTTTATTAAGTTAAAAAAGTTTTTTTTAAATTATATGCGTCATCTCACAATATTACGATTTACTCAAATTTTATAATAAAAAAAAAAACGACGAAAATAAATACTTGGAATCAGCATTTTTTTTAAAATAGAAAAATAACTTTTTTTTTTTTTTTTTTTTTCAAGTTCAATACAGGGCAGTCAACATTTTATTATGTAATAAGTTATATACCGCGAGTAAGAAAATATCCGAGTAAGGTTGGTAAATTTGAAATTGAAATTTTAAATGATAGGTTTTTTAGGCTTATTTTATATCAAAAGTACCATTTTTAAGAATAAAAAGTTTGTTTTTAATTTAATGTTAAAAGGGACTATGATTTAAATTAAAAATAACTCAGTTGTTACTTTCTTTTATTAATCGTAAGAAATTGATTTTGAGTGACCTCGTTTTGGTGCGAGATTGAGAAACCATGCAGCTTAACTTTAAAATTTTTTTTTCTTGCAATTCAGTTAAAAATATTTGTGCTAATAAATATGCTTTTAAAAGTATAGGTTCTTGATTGTTTATTATTTATAAATTTATTATAGTTTTGGAATCATGCCCAAGGGAAAAAGAAAAGTTAAAGGTAAGTTTTGAACATCTACATGTAGAAAAAACCATATTCTCAACTTAAATTTTATTCATTTTTTTTTTTTTTTTTTAACTATTATTATCGTTTTTCTTTAATAAAACCTGAAAGGATTAACATCATAATATTTGATTAATTCTAAAATATTATTTTATTTTAAAAATTTTTTAAAAATTAGATTGTTTAATAATATTGCACCATATGTTGTGGTTACTATGATATGTGTGTATTACGACTTGGTAACCTTGTAATTGAGTATTATCATTTTTAATTAAATTTTTTAATTTTAAAAATTTTCTTTAAATTTTAAACTATTTTACATAAATTCTTTCAATAATTTAATTAAAACTAATTAGCTTCTTTAAACCTTTTAAGGGAAAAAGTCCTAATTATTTTTTCCACTCTTTAGTAAATTGGCTTTTAAAATATGTAATTTAAATTTTAGAATGAAAAATATGTTTTTCTTTTAAGTCGATTTCAAAGTACTATTTATTTTTAAAATTTCCTTTTTTTTTGTTAGGGTTAGTGGGGAAATTGAAAGTGGAAACTTCAGATGAAGATTCTAATTTTGATAATGCTAGTATAATTACTAGTCATTCAGATAACAGAAGTATTGTCGAAGAAGGTTCGGAAGAAGTTGATGAAGCAAGCCAAGAAGAAATTTTTGAAGAAAAATTAAAAGAAGCTATCGATGGTTTGGGAGAAAAGTCAACCCAAAGGAGAATTTCATGTTTGGAATCGATTTCTACAGCTTTTACAAAAAAAATCGTACCTGATTTTATCAATGACAGGTTCTTAATATAATTCTTTTAGGCTCTCTCTCTCTCTCTTGTTTGTTTATTATGAAGCATTAATGACCTTGACATTTAGACTATTTATACATAATTAGTTGTTTTTTTTTTTTTTTTACTATTAGTATTTGTTTTTAGTACATTGCTACTAGGTGACATTGAAGGCAACAATTTATTTTAGTTTGTTTATAAAAGTTTTCAATTCCAATTAAATTATGATTTTTTTTTTTTTTTAAATATTTTCCTTGAAACAAATATTTGAATTTTTTTTAAAAATAATAAATGCGTCACATAAAATATATTATTTTTTTCAAAGGCGAATGACCATCACTGATGCCATTGAAAAATGCTTGAAGAAAGGTCGAGGACAGGAACAATCGTCTGCAGCCAATTTAGCCATTCTTCTTTGCTTTCAACTGGATGATTTGGCTTATGATTTGCGAAAAAGTTTAGGACCTTTGCTGCAGTCATTGTCTCGTGATCTTAGCGTTCAAATTCAAGCTCGAGCAAAAGTAAAAGATTAAAGTTTTAATGGATAATTCTGCTGACTTATTTTAATTATTTGATTGTATGCATCAAGTTTTTACTTTACAGAGTTGCTATGCACTTGCCTTAATTAATTTTTTGGCTGGAAGTGAATTGAATGATATTATTGAACCAATGCAATCATTAGAAGAAATTTTTTGCGGATCATATTTAAAAAGTAATGTTCATTAATTTTTTTCCCATTATCAATTCATTTTATTTTTTGTAAAGTAAAAATAAATAAATATACTTTTTGTGAATATAGGCAATGGTTCAATGCCCAATATTACTGCTGAAGAAGCCAATTTGCATGCTGCTGCTTTGTCTTCCTGGAATCTTTTGCTCACTCTTTTGAGCCCTTCTGATGTATACACGTTTATGTCTTCTAATGAAAGTCATTCTGATATGTTACCGTAATTATATATCGTATTGCTTTTGACAAATTTAAAATATCTACTATTATTATTTTTTTTTTTATTAAAAAAACTAATTTTTTCTTTTTTTTTTTAGTTCAATAGAAAAATTAGGTGAATTGTTAGACTCTAATTATTTGGATGTAAGGATGGCTGCTGGAGAATGTATTTGCTTAGCTTATGAATTAGGGAGAAATTTTGCTACAGATTTTGGTGAAAGTTATTTTGATTCATTGTGCGAAACTCTTAAACAGCTAGCAAATGATTCAAATAGATACAGAGCTAAAAAAGATCGAAAAACTCAAAGATCTAGTTTTAGAGATATTTTACATTTTATTGAAGTAAGTTTTGTCGATTTGGAATTTTGTAAAATTTACTTTAATTATATTATTAATCTTTGTTCTTTTTGCAGGAAGATATAAATCCAGATATACATGTTAAATTCGGACAAGAAATGCTTTTACTGGATACCTGGTGTAGAAAAAAACAGTATGATATGTTTTGTTCAGTATTGGGTTCTGGTACAAATTATCATTTGGCAGAAAATCGCTTCGTCAGAGAAATATTCGATTTAGGTGATAAAATATCATCTATGACTAGTGCTGATTTAAAGCAATCCAAACATGATAGGGTAAATTTTCTTTTCAAACTATTTTTAACCGTTTGTTAAAATAAAGTTTTAAAACAGAAATTAGAAAAATATTGTTTATTTTTAGTATTTAGCAAATGCGGCTGCTTTCAAGGCTAGAACCATATCAAGAGGAAAAAATCGTGATAAAAGATCCATTGTTTTGGCTTGCTGACCAAATTATTATTTCTAATAAAGATTTTTTTTTTTCTTTTTTTTTTTTTTTTTTTTGATAAATAAGTTGTAAAAATTTATTTTTTTTTTTTTGGAAATATATATATATAATCCTCATTTAAAATTTTACAAAGCTGTATAATTTTTTATTTAAAAAAAATATATATATATCTGTCCACTAAAAATAATAATAAAATAAATTGAAAAGCATATTACTTAGATTCATAGATATCATTAAGATTTTGAAAAAATGATTAGATAATTTGAAATTTAAATAGAAAAAGATAGATTAGACAGATGATAGAATTCTACAGAAATTAAAATATTATTAGAAGAAAAGTTTTTAATAATTCTAACAAAAAAAATCAATCAAAAAACAAAAAAAAATTATTTTTAGTTGAGTACTATTGAATATGCATGGTATATAAAACATAAAAGTTTTTTGATTTTTTAACGTTCATCTGATAAAATTAACCTTAGTTATTTAATAAACGTTTAAATAAATTATAGAAAAATCATTTGACTCAATTAAAAATTTTAATAATTTCTAACACTTTTAAATAAACGCAATTAACATTAAATAACATAAATTTTAAAAAAAACAAAATAAAACTTTTTATTTGTAATTACCGCAAGAGGTCTTAAATTCGGTTAAAAAAGTTATAGTTGTAAAATAATCCGCTAGAGGTCCGGTTTTACATTTGTTTTGTTTTTCTATTATAAAGAGAAAGGTTTATTCGAAAAGGTTAACTAAGAAGTAACGGTAATTTGTGGTGAAAAAAAAAAATTTATACAAGTTTTTCTTTGAAGATCCACATTAAACTTTAATAAAATTAAAAAGTTTTTAAATTAGTGTTTTTTTTTTATTATATAACAATGACGTTTTAAAAAAGTTTAAACCGTATTTATTGTTATTATTTAAAAAAAAAAAAAAATAGTATCATCGAGTCGGGTTATCAGGTCGTTTGAGGATTTTTTTTTTTTTTTAAACGGTTACCATGACAACGCGATTTTGCCAAAAGTGTTGCTCGGAGTTTTTGAAAAATGTAAAAACCGCGGAAAATCATGCGCTGGAAATTCTGATGCATTTTATCGTTTCAAATTATTAGTGACATTGTATTAAAAACTTTTTTTTTGGTATGTAGTAAAACACAAATTTAAATTTTTTTAATAACAAAAAGTCAATCAAATCATTCCCTCTTTTTGTTTTAAATTTTTAAATAAAATCAAATAATAATAAAACTTTTTCATTTTAACTTTGCCTTAACGATATTGTTTGATAAAAAAATTATAAAAAAAAAAAAAAGTTACCGAAATTAAAATTTAATGTAAAAAGTTTAAAATTTTACAAACTTTTAATAAATTTAAATTAAATTATACCCATTAAAACGTTTAAAAAAAAAAAAAAATTACTATAACAAATTTAATTGCGTTGAACAAAATTACCTTTCATATGATTATTATTATTATTTATTAATAATTATTGGGACCCTACGAATTAGGGTCTTATACTAAAGCTCTGGGGAGGGGGGCGTCATTCGCATAATTAAAATATGTCGTTAATATGTGTAATTATTAACGAAGGAAAGGGGAAAAAAATTTTTTTTCCACGTTTATTATAATGTTTGGTGGTGATGGTGATGGTGATGGTGGTTGTTGCGGTTGTGAAACATAAAAATCAAAGGAAATCATCAAGAGAGACACATGAAACATGGCAAAAACATTAAGGAGTAGTAAAACACTTTCGGAAAATGAAGGAATAACAGATATTTATCCCTCAATATTACATTTATGGGAAAACGTTGGAAATAAAAAATCACCATGGTGTAAAAAAAGAACATCAGCACCACAATTTCAAACGCAAAATAGTTTTTCTGCATTAAAAAATGTCGTTTTAAAAAGCAGAGGAAGTTGTCCATCCGCAACAAACGTTTATAAAAGGTGAGAGTTGAAAATGTATTATCATTATTATTAAAAATATTTTTTTTTTTTTTTTTTTGTAAAACAAATTATTTCACATGCATGTTGTATTTTTATATATTATTGTATTATGTAAAAGATTTTATAAAAAAAAAAAAAAGTTTTATTAAATTAATTTAACGCTCATTAAAAAAATTTTAAAATCTAACGTCTAATTAGTTAATTTTTTTTTTTTAAAGTTGAGAAATGCTTTCTAGATCAATTAATTAATTAACGTTTTTAAATGAATTTTAAAAACAAAAATCTTGTTTTTAACAAAGCTCTTAAAAAAATTTTTTTGTTTGTTTTTTTTTTTTTAATTACAAAAATTATGTAATGATAATGGTTTTAAAAATTTGTTTTTTTTTTTTTTTTTTACAGGTAAGTTTTAAAATTTTTTATTATTAACGGATTGACTGGATTAAATAATAATAATAATAATAATAATATTGAGTGAAGAAGAATAAGAAGAAGAAGGAGAATAATAATAATATTATTCGAATAATTTCTATAAATAACGAAAAAAGGTAAACATCGATCGATTTACATAAAAATCTACTATTTTTTTTTTTTTTTTGAAATTTTTCGTAAAACGTTTAAACGAATTAATTACGAGCAAATTTAATTAACTCCCAATTTAAAAAATGATAAAAATAACTTTATTTTACACAATGAATAGAAAAAAGAAAAAAAAAAAAAGGAAAAAAAAATTTCATTTTATAGCAAAAGTTGTTACTCCATTTGCAGATCTTTCTAGTAAATAAATAAAATGGTGGAAAAAAGGCGCAGAGTTTTCTTTTCACCGCGCTGACATTTCTCCCGTTTATTAATTTTTTAGCTTTCATATCGACGTCGAAAACTTATTAGTTTCGCGCAGCCACCGCGAACAGCGGTACAATCGCCTTTCTTCGCTTTCCTATTTCCGACATATTTATCCAACGGCGAATTTAAAGTAAAATGGATATAATAATAAACGTGTTGGTTGTTGTTGTTTTACATTTAATATTATAATCGGTAATAATAATTTATAACCGGTTTTCGGTTCCGGTTTGTTTTTTAAAAAAAAATAATTTCACGTTGATGTAATTCGTTAAATTTTTAACAATTTGTTTAATCCCTTACCCCTCCCTCCCCCCTCATTCCTCCCTTGAAATCGAAACAGTGATTCTGCCCGAATGGGCTACAAATTTCCTCATGCGTCAGGTTAAACGTCAGGTTCTTTTTTTTTTTGTTTGAGCCCGAATCGGTTTTGTGTTTGTGCTGTGCAAGTGCAGTGTTAAAAAAAAGAAAAAAGAAGAAAGAAAATAAGGAAAATAATAAAAAAAAAAAAACGGATGGAATAAAAGAAAAGAAAAAAAAAAAGGGAAAAAAATCTTGTCGGGATATTTCGGTAACGTGCAGGTGATCGTTACGGATCGAATCCTTTTCTATTTTCTTTCTTTTTTTTTTTTTTTTTTTTTTTTAAACACGTATACATATATTTTTACAAAAATTTTAATCAGTTAAAAAATGAATAATTAAAAAAAAAAAAAAAAAACAAAGGTTTTATTACGTCATAAATAAATTGTGGCATCGATCGAATATATATATACTCGTATATAAATGTGTTTGTAAAGGGTAAAGGTGCCAGAGGAAGAATAATCTAACCATAATTTTCCTTTTTTTTTTTTTTTTTTATGGTTTTTAATATTAAAAAAAAAAAAGAATCGATGTTTACTTTTGTATATAAAAAAGAAAAAAATTTCCCAACAGTTTTTCATAAGGGGAGACGACAGGGGGCGGAAGGGGCGGAAAAGGGTAAGGGGTAAAGAGAGAGAAAAGAAAAAGAAGTTTTAAAAATCACTTTGGAATTCTTTTTTTTTTTTTTTTGCTCTTTCACAAAAATTTTTTTTTTTTTCAAAAATTGAATGTTTTTAAAAATTAAAAAAAAAAAAAACAAAAATGTCTGCGTATCGCTACGGGGGAGGGGGGGGGAGGGGAGCGGGGGAGGGAAAGAAACGATCAGTATTAATAATGAAATATCGGTTGCAAATTTTTTACCATTTTTAATAAAACTCTAAAAATCTGGCAAAAAAAAAAAAAAGGTTTTGGTATATATATCTAACACATAATTTCCACCCTTAGAATTTTTTATTTACATGCCATAAAATTAATTGCAAACATTGGGTTTTCGTTCAATGATAATAAAATCTCGATTTCAAGTATATCTCTATCTCTATCTCTCTCTCTCTCTCTGGCTGTTGTATACAATTTTTTTTTTTTTACCGTTAGAAATTCGTTATTGAAAATCTCGAACGATTTTTATATTCAAAAGAAAATGAAAAAGAAAAAATTTAAAAATTATAATTTGATTTTCCTAACTAACTCATTCTCTGATTTAAAATTTTCGAGTCCTTGATTTTATATTCATTGTTTGTAATTTGGCATAGTAATTCATTTAGGTCACGGATCGAAAACTGTTGAAATTATTCAACTGCTTATACATATATACAGACACGCGATAGAAAGGGAATTACGAACCTATAATAATAATAATAATAATAATAAGTTGTTTCGATTCTATGCAACATGTTTACGATCGGTTAATAAAACGCACACACACACACTCACACGCACACGCACTTAACGAATAATTGATGGGATTGAGATTAAGTAAATGAAAAAAAAAAAAAAAAAAAAATTCGGGAATTTATTATAATAATGATGATGATGATGATGATATTTATTAGGCGGTTCGTATACACGTTTTAAAAATGGAGGTGGGGCGGAGGACTCCCATGGGGGGAAAGAGAGGGAAGGGAAGGGAAGGTAGTATGTAGTCGTGTTTGTGCCCTAAAATTTATTTATTTATTTTATTTTTCATTTTTTTTTGAGCGTTTTTAATGAAGGATAAAAAATCGTATTAAAAAAATTTTCTTTTTTTTTGGTGAAAATTGGGGTTTTAATGTACCTTACAAAGCTTTGTGTGCTTATTTTGAGTTTAACGAACAATTCAAATGTGTAGTAAAAAAAAAAACTTTTCTTTTATGATGTTAAAAAAAAAAAATTTTCCGTCCCGTTTTTTTTTATCCCGAACGACAAAGAAAAAAAAAATTAAAAAAATTTTCTTTTTAACGTTATACGCACGCTAATATAAATTTTTAAAAAGGTTTAAAAAAAACTGGAATTTTATTTGTCGTAGTATTGAAAATTTCATTTATAGTGATAAGGAAAAAAGTCATTTTTAGAAATTTCTAGAATAAAAAAAAACAAATTAGGGCTAGACGGGAATATATATTTATTTAGATTTTAAAAAAATTTCTCTTTAAAAGTAATTTTCGGTTTAGAAAAAAAAAAAAAAAAAAAAGAAAATTTAAATTATCCGCTAAGTCGAAATCTAAATAAACTTTTCTTTTTTCTTTTTTTTTCGACGCTTCCTTCCTTACTCCTTTTCTTCCCTCCCCTTTCCTCCTCCTCTACCCCTCACTCTCCCATTTTTCCTCCCTTTTTTCATCTCCCGCTTTTCCTTTTAAAAAGCAACAGAAAAAAAAAGGAAAAAAAATTTAATTTATTTTTAAGTCGCGTTTGCTATTAATAAAAAAAAAAAATTATTATTATTATTAGATTATTTATTTATTTATTGTTTATTATTATTATTATTAATAAATAAAAATAATTTTTTTTTTTTTAATGGAAAATATTTCACGGTTAATAATTAGTCTGCTCAACCGGAAAGAGTAAAAAAAAAAAATTTTTTTTTTTTTTTTTTTTTAATTATAAAATCTCTGGAGTTTTTCTTTCTACTTAGTCCAAAGGAACCTAATTAAATTTTATTTTTAAAATTTTTTCTCTTTTCTTTTTTTTCTTTTTTTCGAAGGAAAAGAGAAGGAGATGGGGAGACGGGGGGGGGAGGTAGAAAATAATTAAAAATAAATTCAATATCGAAAATTTAAAAAAAAAAATTTTAAATTAATTTTTATTTTTTTTAAAAATGGAAAAGCAGAAAAATTTGTGTTGCCTCAAACTGTTGTTGGTTCTTTATTTGACATTTTTTTTTTTTTTTTTTTTTTTGCTGATAGGGAGAAAAAAGAAAATTTTTTTCTTATGCCCTAGAGAAAAACATCTTTTCTTTTCTTTTTTTTTTTGTAAGTTTTACCAACTTTAGAAATTTTTTTTTTTTTTTTTCTGTTAGGTATCTTTTAGTTTTCAGTAAGATTTCAAAACTTTTTATTTTTGGCTTAAGTTATAATTAATCGAAATGAGAGAGAGAGAGAGAGGGAGAGGGAGAAAAAAGAATTTTATTCAATTATGTTGTTGCTGTTGCTGTTTTTTTTTTTTGAAGGGGGGGGGAAGGGGGGTTTAAATTTTTTTTTCTTTTGATCGTTTACAATAATCATCATCGTCGTCGCAATTTTTGTTGTCTTCTTTCGAAATTTAATAAAGTGGAATTAATTAATTAATTTATCTTTTCGAAAACAACGCGAGCAATAATTTATTTTTCGAAATCGTTGAAAATGAAATAAAAAGGAGGGGGAGGGAGGAAGGGAGAGTGGGGGGAAAGTAGTAGAAAAAAAAAGTAAAAATAAAAATTGAATCGAAGATGAACAATGAACCCGCTGTTTTATTTTACCAACAACAGTAAAAGTAAAATAATTTTATTATCAACAGCGTGGCAGTTATTATTATTATTATTATTATTATTATTATATTTTGTTTAAGGCGTAAATTATCTTTCATTATTTTATTACGTCAAATTGCTTAATAATAATAATAATAATAATAATAATAATAATAATAATAAAAAAGGATAAGTTTGTCATTTGACCTCAATAACTTTAACATTTTAATTTAATTTTATTATGTGCAATTAAATCCGCGTTTTCTTTTTTTCTATTTTTTTTTTTTTTTTTCGGAGAAAAAGAAGAAGGAGAAAATAAATAATTATATTTTATTTTATTTTATAAACTTTTTAATAAAAAATAATAATAATGATAATCGATCGTATTGTAGAATTTAATTTAAAAAAAAAAAAAAAAAAATTTAGGTTGTGTTATTACGTAAACGACCAATATCGGTTGAGAAAATCAGGTTTTGTTGTTTTTTTTTTTTAAACATGGAATACAAATGAAAATAATTGCCTTTTTTAACCGTTAAATTTTTCCAATGTAATGTCGGAGAGAGAGAGAGAGAGAGAGAGAGAAAACTATAAAAATTACATAATAAAAAGCCGTTAAAATAATTTGAAAATGTTTTAGATTATTTACTAGAGTTGATAAGAGATAAAATGGCTGAATTAAAAGTGGGAATGTTTGATTGACAAAATTTGATTGAAAAAATTTGAATGAAAATTTAAATGAAGAATGTTTGATTAATTCCAGGGGAGTTTTTTTTTTATAATTTACAAAAAAAATAAATAAATAAATTACGGTAATTTTACTTGCCGAACATAATGATAACGATTGTAAGAAAAAGGTGAATGATGATAATTTTCGAGATAAAACGTTTTTAACGTGAAAGTACCTGATAATGGAGGTACAAATACCTCTTTTTACAGTTTAACTGTGTGTTTTTATGAGGGAATAATACTTTTTACAAGCATTAAAACACAAAATGTTTTCTTAAGGCGGCCATATTTTTTTTAAAAAATTTTCTTGCATTATGGTGTGTGCATGTGTGTGTGTGCGTTTACTCAGTTCGAGGAGTTTAATTTAAATATACCAAAAAAAAAAAAAGAAAAAAATTTATTTCAAAATTAAAAATCGATTAATAATAAAAAAAAGAGCGAAAAATTTTTATTACGTTTTAGTTAGATTAAAATTTAAAAAAAAAAAATGTGTAGTAATCCTTCAATAATTTTTATTACACTGATTAGCTTTTTTACTCGTACAAAAAGTTTTCTAAATTTTATAGATTGAAATTTAATTTAAAAAAAAAAAAAAACCTAATTTATCGATTATGTTTGTTAAAAAAAAAAAAAGAAACAAATTTTGTTTGTTTGTTTGTTTGTTTTACAACGTATAAATAACAATAAAAGTTTTGTGTGAATTTTGATTAATTTACACACATAAAAAAAAAAAACAATAATTTTATTTGAAATTAATTACATAATCATTAATCATAACAAATTTGTGGACACTATGAAACGACTAAAAAATTATTATTTATAAATTTGGGGAGCCATTAAACAAAAAAAAAAAAAAATTGAAAATTATTCAAGTTGTAAAAGTAGATAATTTTCCTGTTTCCAGGGGGGGGAAAGGGTTTGTGTTGGGCCCAATTGTTTTTCTCACGTAATCAATAATTATTATTATCAATACTAACGTCATTTTCTGTGTCGCGTTTAATAATAATAAAACGATGGTGCCATTCATCCATTTATATATAAATTTTAATGGTTTTCAAGTAATTATGTAAATAATACTTAAGGTTATTGACCTATTAATTATAAAAATCATTTTAAAAATAAGTCTCTTTTTTATTTATGCGTCTTTTGTTTTTGCCAGATTTTAAAAAAGAGTTATTATTTTAAGAAATTTGCGCCAAAACATGTAATGAAAACAATAAATTAATTTAAGAAAATTTATTATTTATTGAACAGTGATAGTTTATTTATATTTATAAGTCAAAAATAAGTTTTACACGCACTTTCTTTCTCTCTCTCTCTCTTTTTTTTTTTTTTTTTTTGGTCTTTAAGGGAATATATCAGAAATATTAAATTATTTTCCAGAGTAATAAAATTGTCAAGGAAAAAAAAAAAAAAAAACAAAAAGGAAAAATGAATTGAATGAGAAAGATAGGGAGAGAGAGAGAGAGAGAGAGAGAGAGAGAGAGAGAGAAAAAAAAAAACTAATTTCTAGGGCGGAGATCCAGTGATTTGAAAATCTTCAACATTTTGAAGAAAAAAAAAAAAATTGTTTTTTTTTTTTTTTTTTTTTCCTCCTCTCTCGCAAATATTAAAAATGAGGATCCATTAAATAAATGAAAAATTAATCGAAAACTTAAATAAAGGTTGGAAATAGTTTCGTGGTGGGGGGAAAGTTGTGCAAGTGTTGTCCCTGCCGCCAGGGCAGGGGAAAATCATTAGAAATAGAGGAAAATATTTGCGGAAAAGAGAACCACGATCATCAGTTGTTCAGAACGGAGGGAGATAATGATAAAGAAAAAGATATCGAATGTGAAAAATCATCGGATCCGCCTTTGCTGATATCATTGCAAACTCAGCTTCACGATATCGAAAAAATCGAAAAAAAGCAAAATGGTGACGATTCTTCATCGAGTTCGACTTTTTTTTCTAAAAACTCTAGCATCAGAAAAGATCATCGTGGTTCGGAAGATTCGAGACAATTTCAAAGCTCTCCTTCACCTACTTGCAGCATATCAAATATTTATTTGATTAAAGGCAGAAGAAAAAAGAAAATAAGGTTTGTGGTGATTTCGATGAAGCTTTTTTCTAAGGGATTCTCTCTCTCTCTCTCTCTCCACCATTTTGTTTCAACATTTTTCTTTTCCTAAATTTTCTTTTCCTCTCTCTCTCTCTCTAAGGAAACCCTTTGAAAAAAGCTTTTCTCACACAAAACACCACAATGTCTTTTTTATTCGGCAAATCATTTTAAAAAAAGTTTATTTATTTCCATGTTCGCGAAATAGTCGAAGTGTAACAAGTACTAGCAGTGAAACAAGTGTTCCGGCTGGTACTTTAGTAAGTACTTATGCTGGAGGAAGCGGAAGTGGAAACGTTGCAAAAATGCAAGCCGAGCAAGGATCTATTAAAGAGCTTAAAAGCTACCAGACCAATAGGTATTTGAGAAACAGGAGACACACACTTGCTAACGTTCGGTGAGTTTTATTTCGTGTTTTTTTTTTTTAAAATAAAAATCGTGACGTCACACTAATACTAAACATGATCATGACGTCATGAAAATACTAAACATTTTACGTACAAATTAATTCGAACGAATTATTTGTTAAGGAAAAAAGTGTGAAACTTTTGCGGGGGAGAAAAAAAAATTCCGTTAATATTAATTACAAACCCTAGAAAAAAAAAAAAAAAAAAATTTGTGTCAATGATTTTTCTCGATCGCAAAAGGAAATTGCGGTAAACATTTGTGATCAAATTTTTTTTTTTTTTTCGTTTTAACGATAAAAAGAAAAAAATAATCAACGGATTGATAAATCGCTTAACGCCCTTTAAAAAACTTGACGCAAAGACAGGTAAATAAAGGTTATGTGAAAAGATCACGGAATTGGGGAGACATTTTATAAAAAAAAAAAAAAAAGAAAAAATTGCCTAACATGTAATTCGAAGGATAAAATTTTTTTTTTTTTTCGGTTTGAAAATTTTCCAAGGGGAAAAATACGTTATATTTTTTAAACAACGTGAATATGTTAGTTTTTTTAGCGAATGATTGGGTTTTTTTTCCCTTTGATTTCCCTGTGTTTGCTGTCGTTTCCGTACAGCAGCAGCACCGATCAAATAATAATAATAATAAAACAGCATTTATTGAATTAAAATAATTTTTTTTTTTTACCGTCGTCACACACAGCATCACACACACACACGCACAGGCGTTATAAATAGTAAAAAAAAAAATAATCTTTGGGGGGTGAATTTTTTTTTTTTTTTTGGGGGGGGGGGGAAATTTCCGGAACAAATTTTCCGAAAAACAAAATAAAAAATTTTTAAAGTGATAAAAACAATATTTTTTATAAAAAAAAAACAATTTGTCAAAATACAAATAAAAATTTGTCGTATAAACCGTATGGTTACCAGACCGTATAATTTGAAACCTTAAACTAATTGAATTTTCTTTTTTCACAAGAATAAACAATTGTTTTACTTTTCTTCCTTTTCCTTTCCCTTTCTCTCTATCTCTCTCTCACACTTTTTTTTTTATCCTTCATTTTTTCCTCCTCACCTCTTCGCACCTCTTCTCATGTAAATAACCTTTTAAAATTTAATTGAATTAAATTAGTTGTTGGTTTAATCCTTTTTCACCTTTCATCTTATAAAAATCAATAAAAAAAAAATCAACCTTTTATCAAAACACGCTTTCATTGCCCCCCCCCTTTTTTTTTTTATTCTTATTGACCCAACACGAATAAATTTTTTTTAAGTCCCTCAACCTATTTATTAAATGAGAAATTCAACCTTCTCCCGTTATCCAGGGGTTCGACCTTATTTTCATGTAAAGGATTTGGTGTTCGAACATGCGAAGGTAGTGAGTGGGTCATTTTTTTTTTTTTTTTTTTTTTCATTAACCTTTTTTAAGAAAAAAAGTGGAAATGGGATAGTTGTTATATTCCTTTTGTAATGACGTTTTAAAGGGGACAAAGTTGAAAGAAGTTTCCAGAAAGGAATTTCACAATCTTAAATTTTTTCTTAGTTTTCATTCATAAATTTTCAAAATGTCAGAATTGAATTCATTATTTAGTCGGGATTAAAATTTTTATCCCCCCCCCCCCTTTATTTGTTTCTACGTGTTGAAAAATTAAGCTAGGGAGTAGGGATTGCAACGAAACGTGGAAAAATCTAGAATTTCGAACATAAATTATAAAAAAAAAAAAAATTCAAAGTGTCAATTTGTGTTCATTTTTGATAGGTATGATCAATGGTAGGCTTTTCAATTTCCACTTTTCCGTAAATGTTGGTACACATGACAATTTTATTACTCGAATTTCAAAACATAATTAAAACGTTAAAATTATAATAATTGATTGAAAATTTTTTAACGATTTTTTTTTCTTGTTTCAGGTATGTACTTATAGTATTATACGTTTAATTTTAACGGTTTTTTGGAATTCAAATAATTATCGGTAAGTTTTAAAAAATTGTTTTTAAATTTAAAATGAAAAAAAAAAAAAAAAAAAATGAAACGTGGAAATTATTACGTAATTTTTTTTTTTTAACGAGAAATTGTTTACGTAAATTGCAACGTTTTTAAATTTTTAAACTATTATTTAATAAGTAGTTAGTAATAATATTTAAAAGTAAAATAACCTGATTGAACAAAAAATAGTGTATATAAATCAAATGAGAATAAGTGAAAGTCGTGATAAGATAATCGTTATTATTATAAATTTCGCCAACAACAACAAATGGGGGGAGGGGGAAGGGGGAAAAACGTTTCCGCGTCTCTCATGCACCACCATTACCACCTGTTTACCTGTTTGAATTAGAAAAATTATCGAATTTAAAAAAAAATGTTTTTTTTGGGGGGAGGGGAGGGGAGGAACTCTTAAAAATGTTTTTTTTTTTTTTATGAAAGTAATATGAGTGAGAGAGAGAGAGAGAGAGAGAGAGAGAGTGATACGTAATTATCAATTTACCATTTATTTGATTTATGGAAAATTTCACGAAATGATTCCTTATGCAATCATCACAATATTTTTAATTGTTATTAAAGTAATAATTTGCTTGTATTATTATTATTATTATTATTATTACTATTATTACTATTATTGTAGTAGTAATTGGTATAATGATCGAAAACGATGCGCGAGACTGTGTAATTGTAGTGGAATGTGTTTATTTCACGGTTGTCGCCATTTTTTTTTTTTTTTTTTGTTTAATTTTCATCAGGTATAAAAATACGCACATTATTTACCATTTCGTTTACTTATACGGGTAATAATAATAATAATTAACGTTTGAAACGTATTATTATTATTATTTTCCTTTCCGGGCAGTAATAAAATGTATGTGTATACTTTGGTACGTCGTTCAATTATTAAAAGTTTTATTATTATTATTATTATTATTATTATTATTATTATTATTATTATTATTATTATTATTATTATTATTATTATTATTATTATTATTATTATTATTATTATTATTATTAATAACATTTTACGGAATTATTTTTCCCTAGTAAAATACGATGACGATTTTCGAAAAATCGACGGGGGGACGGGGGAAGGGGGGGGAAATCACAACTTGAGTTAAGATGGTGGTTTAACATGATGTTGAATGAGTTGTAGTATCGAAAGAATGATGAGACGTTAATAAAAATTTCTTATCAGTCGTGTTATCATCCCTAATCCAAAATAAAGAAAAGATCGATTACGTTTCGATTTGTTATTAAAAAAAAAAGAAAAAAAAGAAAACTTTTTGAATTTTGGGTTGCCATCTTGGCAAAATACCACACCTCATTTGAAAACATTTGTTACAACTGAACATTTACCAAAAGCCGAAAATATATTTTACATAAGTTTTAATAATAATAATAATAATAATAATAATAATAAAACAAGTATAATTAATTATCGTGAGCCTGTTTCTATGCAAAATAAAAATAAATTTTCGGTTTATTTAATTTTTAATTTAATTTAAAAAAAAAAAATTATAAAAAAGGATTTAAAAAAAACAAATAATCCGAATTTTGGGAGGGAAGGGGTGAGGGAAATAATAATAATAATAATTATAATAAATGATGAAATGTTTTTACGTAAAAATATGTACACACGAATCGACATTATTTTAATAAAAACTTTTTTTCTTCGTAGCTTTTACCCAATTTTTAAATCGTAAATATATCAAAAAGGATTAGAAAGGTAGCGGAAAAACCGTGTGGCGCGTTTTATTATTATTATTATTATTATTATTATTATTATTATTATTATTATTATTTTATTTATAAAAGTAAAAAATATATATATGCGTTGCCATCATAAAAATAAAAGATGGAAAAACTTTTTACTTACGAAAAATTGAATCGAATTTTCTTTTTAAATTTATAATATAATTAGTAATAAAAAGAGAAAATGAGGAAAAGTGCCAAACAAAAGGTAATTATTGTTTATTTATTTTTTATTTTTTTTCCGCCATTGAAAAAACAGATTTTTTTTCGGTGGAAAAAATAAATAAATAAATAAATAAAATGATTTTTTATTGTTTTGATGATTAATATTTTATTTAAAACGTTTATTTCGATCTATAAAAAAAAATAATATTTATCTTCGCGAGATTTCCCTCTCTCTCTCCCCATCGCTTTCCCACCACCCATCCCCTCCCCTTCTTTCCCCCCAAGAAAAAAACATGCAATCGATGACGTGTTTCCGTTTTTTTTGTTTTTTGATTTTTACACAAAAATTATTACGTCACCATTTTAATAAATAATATTTTTGCACGAAAAAAAATTTTTTTTTTTTTTCTTAAATTATGGAATTGAGTTTCGTGGGGGGAGGTGGAGGGGGAGGGGAAATCATTCGCGAACGCGTAATTTATTATTATTATTTTTTCATAATTTTTTTTTTTTTTTGTAGTCTCCCACTTAAAAGCAATAAAAAGAATTTTTTTTGCAAACGTGAGAATAACTCAAAAAAAAAAAAAAAAATTTTTTTTTTTTTTTTTTTTTTTAATATCACGACATAAACTCGGATCATTTAACATTATGTGAAAATGTGGGTTTTTTTTTTGTAAGCAAATCAGAAATAGACTTGGACATCAAACGAATTTTCTAGAAATATCTATCGAAACCCCCCGCCCCCCCCCCAAACAGTCGTTTGGAATGAAAAGTTTAAAAATATATATATTAAATATTATTAAAAAAAATTATTTATATATATATATTTTCAGGGTTGGACGTAATGAGATATTTAAATTTAAAAAAATTTTTTTTAATTGCAATTTTAAAAAAAATAAATTAAGGTGAAATCATTTTACCCAGACCTTTAAATTAAAATAATAATAATAATAATAATAATAATAATAATAATAATAATAATAATAATTGATTGATAAATGAGGTCGTTCAGATTTGAGGAAAAAAGTATATTTGAGCAGGTAGTTCAAGGTTTAAAAAAAAAGGAAAATTTGTTGAATTTTCCAGTAAATACTAAATTTCCTATTTTTTTTTTATAAATTAACCCCCTTAAAAAAGAGAGAGAGAGAGGGGGAGAGAAAGAGAGAGAAAGAGAGAGAGAGAGAGAGATTGCAAATTGTAATCAAACAATTCAATGATAATTAAAAAGAAAAAGAGTATATACATAAATTAGTTTTGTTTGTTCGTACTAATCAGGTTTTTTTTGGGGGGAGGGCAGGGGAGGGGAGGGAAAAGAAATCTATATTAAAATAAATCCGAAATGCAAATTTTAAATTTAAAAAAAAAAAAAAAGAAAATGGATGGTTTCGATGAAAAAAAACCGGCCAAAAAAAAAAAAAGAAGGGTGGAAAGTCAAAAAGTAGGTAGGAGAGGAGAAAAAAAAAAGGACGATACAAAAAAAAAGAGGGATAAATGAGAGAAAAAATAAAAGAGAGATAAAGATAGATAGATAGAGATACAGAGAGAGATAGAGATAGATAGAGAGAGAGAGTAAAAAAAAAAAACATGGACGAGTCGCTTTGAATTCACTGCGCCTTGTCATTTCCTTCTATATTATATACCGAAGACAACTTTTTCTTTCAGTTCTGGAAGTTTCCGCCGTGTCGGCGGATGTGGTTTTAAATTTATTTTAATTATTAATTTTTATTTTATTTTATTTATTAATCGTGTAAATAATCGAGAGATCGAACGATTTATTATCGATCGTTTAAATAAAATCGTTTTTTTTTCTTTTCACTTTTCTCTCGGAGTCTCTCTTTCTCTCTCGTTCGAAATAAAATATCGAAAGTTTTTTTTTTTTTAAAAAAAAGGCGCGAAAATCGTTTTCGGAAAAAAAAATTACGTAAATATGGCGTTCGATTTTTTTTCTTACGAAAAAAAAATAATGTCGTGTCGTTTTTCCATCGAATTTTTCCGTTCAAGTGTTCGAGAGTGAAAAGTTTATGTGGGAAATGTCGAAAATGACGATACCTGAATTAAGGCTACCGGTTGTTTGTTGTTCAGCAACTCCTGATGAATCTTCTTCTTCAATTGATATGGATGAGATTTCAAGGATTTCCCAAATTCGATCTGATCCCGAACCTGATGGATCGAAAATACCTGATAAAGGAACCGTGTCTTTTTTAATACCTCCTACAAATTCTTCAACGAAAAGGAGGCATTCGTGGATTTGTAGGTGAGATATTTTTCAATTCAAAATTTAAAAAAAATAATTTTCATTAAAATCCACGTACGAAACAGTAATGCGTAGGGGGGGGGGGTAGGAAGAGGAGGGGAAGGGAAAGGGAAGAGAAGGGGGAGGAACAGGAGGGACCGCGACCAAAAAAATAAAAAATTTCTAATTTATGAAAAATGTAAAATTTAAAATTAAATGCGATTTTTTTTCCCCAAGGCTTTTTTTTTTTTAATAAATTTATGTATTTTCATTTTAATAAATAAATAAAAAAAAGAAAAATTACGATCATTGGCAAAATGGCAAAATAAGTGAAATTTGAATCATCTCTCTCTCTCTCTCTCTCTCTCTTTCTCTTCCCCCTTAAGTAACTCTTCTCCTTTAAGGTTAAAATCGCAAACACACACTCACACACACGCACACACTCACTACATATGACTCCCACGCAAAAGGTTTTTTTTTTTTTTGGCACTTTTTTTTAATTTAAAAAAAAAAAAAAAAAAAATGCTACAAAGAATTTGGCTCGGATTAAAAAAAAAAAAAAAATCACGACGAACGACAATGTTTTTTTTTTTTTTTTTTTATAAAAAAAAAATCTATGTTTAACTTATAGTAAAATTTAAAAAAAAGTCTTCTGCTTTAATTATAAAATAAGTTAATTGTGCGTCGGTTTTTATAAGTTGATAGGTTCAAAATTTATTATTATTATTATTATTAATTTATGAAAATAACATAAAAAAATTTTTTTTAATTAACGTATTTTTTTAATAAATCCTCGGACGAAAATAATAATAATAATAATATTAATAATAATTCGTTACACGACGTGTGTAGGTAAAAAAAAAAAAAAAATATTTTCACTTTGAAATTTTTTTTTTATAATTAAAAATCAAAGAAAATTTTTCTTTTTAATTTTTGATGATTTTCCCACTATCAGTAATAATAATAATAATAATAATAATAATAATAATAATAATTTAGATGATTAATTAAATTTATTTATTTATTAACGCACACGTGTTGTGATAATAATTTTAATTAAACGAACATTTAAAAAAACGCGAATTTATTTTTTGAATAATAATAATACTAATAAATTTACGTTTATTAATGATGATGATGATAATAGTGATAACAACAACAACAACAACAGATCGTTTGTTTAATTTGGTGACTAATACACATATATATATGAAACAGGTTCGTTTGTTGTTAATTTTTTTTTAAAAAAAAATATGACTGAACGTCTCAAACATTTACAATCACACGACGTTCATTCAACAGAAAATGCAAAAAAAAAAATAAAGAAAATTCTGTCGTCGTCTACCAAAGCAAAAAAAAAAAAAAAAAAAAGATTCTTTGTTGTTATTATTATCATTATTATTATTTTTAGGTGATTTTTCCCTGAGTCGTCGGTAAAAACGAATTTTCTTTTTTTTTTTGTTAAATTTTTTACGTGCGTGAGTGAGTGTTTGTGTGTATATGTATGCGTCACGTATCAAGGAAAAAATAATAATAATAATAATAATAATAATTGTGATGTTGTCTTATCATTGTTACAATTTTTCCGTTTTTTAGTTGAAACAAACAACGAGAAATAAAAATAAATTTTTTTTTTTGTTAAAAAAACTTTTCGGTTTTGTTTTTTTTTTGGGTGATTTGCGGTTTGTTTTATTTTTTATTTATTTATTTGATTTCTTATCAAAAATAATTGCGTTTTATTTAATTATTTAATTATTTTTTCGAGTGAGGAAATTGTAATAATAATAATAATAATAATTTAATTGCGATAATTTTTTGTTGTTGTCATAAGTGCAATAAATAGTTTAAATTTAATCATAATATATTAATTGATTGAGTGTGTGACGTAATCAATCAATAAAAAAAGTGAATTAAAAATAAATAAAAATAATTTGTAATGGTGGTGGTGGTGGTGGTGCGTGTGTGCGTGTGCGTGCGTGTGCGTTCAGTGAAAATATTAAATAAATTCAGGGCCTGATTTTTTTTTTTTTTTTCCCTAAATATTTAAATCGAGAGAGCGGTTTGTCCTTACTTTTAAAATTAATAGTTAGTACAACAACAACAACAACAACAACAACAATTTACCTTCAATTAAATAAATTAACTAAATTTCACACCGTTAATTTAAATTCTCTCTCTCTCTCTCATTTTTTTTATTATTAGGGCAATAATTTTATCAAAAAAAAAAAAAAAAAATTGTAACAGTTTGTGTCATACATTAAAAAAAAAAAAAAATTATTAATAATTAGAGTCTTTTTAATGTTTTAATTAAAACAATCGGAATTTTTTGTGAAAAAGTGTTTCACATTAGTTTCATTTGGTTGTTTCGGTGTAAAGTAAAAACAAACGTTTGTCGTATATATATATATATATATGTATGATTTTTATTCGCGTTATAAAATTTTTCGAAAAGAAGACATAATGAAGAGTAATCGTCGTTTCGTTGTACAATCATCGCCATTGTATTTTAATTTTTTATGCGAAAGTGACGAAGGAACACCGGAAAATGAGGAAAATCCAATAACGAAATTATTGTCACCTTCATCTGTGACTATGCAAAGAAGTTTGTCGGCACAGGAACACGTGAGCCATTTTAAAATGTCTTCCGATTGGTCTTCGTCGTCTGTGAGCTTTATTAAAAAACACTCACAATTGAGTAAAAGAAGGAAAAGGTTGATGATCGTTGGGGGTTTGGATAACCGGTAGGTAATATTTGATAATAAAAAAAAAAATGAAATTATTATTATGAATCCTTATTTATATAGAAATAAGTTGAGGAGTTGGTCGTTTTGTATCCTGGTGAAGGATCGGGTTTTTCTATCGGAGGTTTTCAAATGCATTCAAGTGAAAAAATGAGTAAAAGACGAGAAGTGGATTTATTTTAAGGCCCTTTGAGAAAAATTTCCTCACTCGATGAGTTCATTTCAAGTGAAATAAATTTCTAACAACTCTTTATATATATATATTTAAATGTCGTTTTTAAGGAAACGGAAAATTATTAAAGAAAGGAAAAGATATTTTCGTTACCTATCCTATGAGTTAGTTATTCGTGGGTGGATTCAAGATTGAATCCAAATCCCTTCATTTTATATGTTTTTTATCACGCGTGAATTATTCAAAGGATTATAAAAATTTTCTTTTTAAAAAAAAAAAATTTTAACTATATTTAGATTCATTATTTTATTTTCTTAATTGAGAGAATCCGTCATTGAAAAAAAAAAAAAAAACGAATTTTTTTTTTTTTTCTATTTCAACCGTTTAATTAACGAAAAAAATCATCGTACTATTAGTTAATATTATTAAATACAGAGGTCGCGGCATTCGCACTATGGAAAGCGGTGGAAACGATAATGTTTTCAAATGTTAACGCTAGAATGCGCGTCGAAAAATTAACTGTCAATATCATGAGAATAAAATTAATAATAAATTATTTTATTATTATTATTATTACTATTTTAATTTTTTTTTTGAATTTATTTAATTTATTATTAAAAAAGTAAAAACAGATATTTATTATTTCTAACATAAATGACAAAACGAGAAATTGTTATTTTTTAAAATGGAAGTTAACAAAAAAAAGTGGATATTGGAGTTTTTGTATTTATTAATAAAATGTCTGCTGTGTGAGAACAAATTGAAATTTTTATTTTTATTACATCATGATGGTTAATTAAAGAGTATAATATAATAATTTCTTTGTAAAGTTTAGTGCTTTTTAATAAAATTCCCCTAAATAAATGTTTCTAAAACTATTTTTAACAATATGTAAAAACTTTGATGTTGATATATTTTTTTTTCATATACACTTATAAATGAAAATTACAATATAATTAATAATAACATTTAATTATTTTAATTATTAGCATAAAATTACTTTTTTAATATTTCAAACCTATTCAAAAAAAAAAAAAAATCATTCATTTAAATTTTTATAAAAAAACTTCTCATGAATGAAAAATTTTTTCCCTTGTTGAAATTGATTTTATTATTTTAAATTAAAAAGTTATTATTATTATTATTATTAGCACAAATTAATTCATCAATAATGCTTAATAATTATAAATAATATTATGCTTAAAGAAATTGGAATAATAATTTTATTATTATTATTATTATCCTCAGGAAAGAAAATGTAAATAAAAATGAATTAATTAAGAATAAGGGAGGGAATGGAATGGTGGAATTGTGAGGTTAAAAAGAGTAAGATAAAATTATAATATTAATAATATAGTAAAAAATACACCGACGAAGGAATATATATATATATAATAACATTAACTTAATTTATAAAAACATTTTATTTATAAAAAAATGTCGTTAAAAAAAAAAATTTTTTTTAAATTATAATTTTCTCTCTCACTGTCATTTATATATATAATTAACAATAAAATCCTCACCTCACGTTTTATTCAATATTTTGCAAATGTTTTTTTTTTTTTTTTTTTTTTTTTTTTTTGCGATTGTTTATTTTAAAATTAAGATAATTGTTGTCGTCGAATGTTTTACAATTAAAATGCCGGTCATTTTACGTTTGTTAACACTCACCCGAAACGGGACCGTAATCCGAATGATAATTATTTATAATTTACATTTTGTATTCAATCATTTTATAATATTTTCACAGGTTTTGAAAAGAAACAAAAGTAGAAAAATCTCCTGCTGCCTTTTTACTCCTTTAGTCTTATTAAGGTCGTTACAAAGTTTGGAAGCGATGTGTGTGTGTGTGCGTGCGTTATTTATTGCGGTTAAAAGTGAAAAAAATATTTATTAATTATTTACTTTTATTTTTTGTTTTTTATTACGTATTTAGAGAGTAATTAACGGTTTTTAATCACGAAAAATTATTATTAATCATAATTGTATATTTTTTTTATTTTTTTTTTTGACGTAATCGTATAAAAGGTTTTCGATTGATTATAAAAATGATTATGATGATGAAGATATTTTAATCGCCATTTTGAAAAAAGTAATAATGAGAAAAAAATTTTTATTCGCGACACGAAAATTGTTTTCGTTTTATTTAAAAAAAAGTGAAATGTTATTTCTAAAAAAGTTAATTTTTTAAATTAATTTATGTGAATATATAAAAAATAAAAAATTTTACTTGATGTCGTTCGATAAAAATTTTTGCATATGTCGATTTACGATGTAACAAAATAAAAAAAAAAAAAGAAAAAATTTCAAGAAGGCGGTGAGATGCTCATAAGATAACAATGATTGTTGTTCATTTAGATTTCTCTTATTGTTGTCGTTAGTAATTATTATTTACGATTTTAAAAAGATGGGTCGACGTTACATTTATCATTTCGAATATTCGTCCACCTTATATTTTTTTTTTTACTTTATTATTATTATTATTGTTATTTAGTCAAGTGATGTAGTAAAAGTAAAACAATTGTTGACGAAATGATGAGCAAATTTTTTTTTTTTTTAGATAATAGTCATTAATTGTTTATTTTTATTGTCAACAGACTGCGCTGTCAAACTAACGACCCACATGTTTGATTCGTAAACCATTTTGACACAATTAAGATGGCGGTAAATTTTTTTTTTTTCTCGTTTTTTTTTTTTTTTTTATAGTATAAATGTGATTATGAATAAGTAAAAAAATGTTTTAAAATATGGACATATTTATACGATTGATTATATAATTTTCACGTGTTAAAAAAATAGTAGGTTACGAACTTTAACCTAAAATATTTTACAGGCTAATTTTGGTTTAGATATTAGCGATAATGTCAACGGGTAAAATTAAATGTATTAAAATAATATTGGTTTGATAAATATTTGATTTTGCTTGGGTTTTTTTTTACGTTGATAAAGCATTCATTTAGTTATCACAATATATACCCATGTATATACATATTAAAAAAAAAAGTATTGTTCTCCTCGGTTAGTTTTAGGTAAATTTTTAATAAATTGAATAATTTATTAATTATTTTGATTTTTGTGGGAAATAGTGGGGGGGGGAAGGGGAAAATACACCACAGATTTGATAAATACATAATTTATAAAGAAAAACAAACAAACAAACAATTCGCATCTCTCACAATTTTGTTTGTAAATTTAAACTTATGTACTTTTTTTTTTAATGGATACATTTAAAACACACACACACACGCCATTTTTTAATTTAAAAAAAAAAAGAAAGAAAGGAATGATTGTTTTTTTTTTTTTTTCATTTAAATGAATTCTTCTTTTGTTTAATTTCGTTTAATTTTTTTTTTTTGTTAATATGGCAACAATGTTATTATTTACTTATTCATATATCGTGAGGGAATTAAACGTTTTTGAATTCGCCTGTTATTTTCTTTAACTTCAATTTCAAAACATTACAGTTTTGACTTTAAGTATTTAAATGGCGTCGATATTTTCGAAAAAAAATTGTACAAATTATGTTTCATCTAATGATATGTATCCTATCCCATATTTAAAGATGTACCCATGAGTTTTTCCGATGATATTTATTTTCTTTTTTTTTTTTTTTTTTTTTGCAATGAAAATCATGATAAATGATGATTAATGACCTTCGTAACGGTTATCGACACATCCGAGAGTTTCTTATCAGGTATTTGAATCGACGACAGCTAGGAAAATATTTTCCGAGTTTTCAATAATTATTATTATTATTATTATTATCTATTTCATAGCAAGAATGAAAAACGAAAAAAAGGTACGACGAAAAAAAAAAAAAACAAAAATTAAATGACGAATACGACGAATTTATAATTCGTGACCCTCGAAAAAATAATCGTACCTTGACCAAATTCATTCATCGCTCTCTCACTATAATTATTGGTCCCAGAAATTATTTTTTAAGGCTCCCCCCCCAAAAAAAAAAAGAAATTTTTTTTTTTTTTTTTATTACCTTAAGGGTTCGTTAATTAGTTTTTGAAAACTTGATCATTCGAAAATTAAATTTATAAAATTTTGTGTACGTATTATTATTATTATTATTATTTGTTTTTTTCAAGGAGGTATTGGAATAATATCGAAACCTTTGCCAAAAGGTATTTAAATAATTTTACCGAAACTTTACAAAAAAAAAAAAAAAAAAATTTAATCCATCGTTTCCGGTTTTTCTTCTTTTTGGCGCCTTTTTTAAATTTATTAACGATATCAAACTATTTTTCATTCTGCATACAGGGAGGTAAAGGTGTGTGCTCTTGAAGGTGTTAAATTGTATTTTATATAGAAAGGTGAGGAGGAGGAGGGGGAGAGGAGGAAGGAAAACTCGTTAGTAAACTATGTTGAGAGAGTGAGAGAGAGAGAGAGAGATATGCGATTTGAATTGTTAATAACATGAAAATGATTGTTTCACACACACACACACACAACACACACACATCCTACATAATTATCATTAAATGAGGAGCCAAATCAAGGTTAATAAATGTATAATAATAATAATCAATTTTTTATTATCTTTTTCCGGTAGATTGTTTTTCCGACCGGTTTGTTTGTTTGTTTGTTTTTTAATTTTGGGTCGTGGTAGGAAAAAAAAAAAAAAATTTACCGTCAAAACTTTTTTTTAATATTATTTATATTCAATATACAAAAGGGTATATAAATTTATTATCGAAATGGTATTAAGAAGGTATTAAGGGGAGGGGGGGAGGTGGTCGTGCGTTTGAAATCAATGATTTGAAAAAAATAAAAAGTCTTTAAATTCAGGTTCGAGAAATAAATTATATTTGAAACATGACCATAATACGTGATTGAAAAATAAAAACTTTTACAAAATTTTTTTTTTTTTGAAACGTAAGCAAAATAAATATATATATCTTAAATATATATTGAAATTTAATATATCAATAATAAGAACTTTTTGTTAGAAAAATTCAATATAACTGATAAAATTATATTTTAAAAAAATTGAAGAATTTCTAATACTTTTTTATTAAAAAAATGAAAAAATTGTTTGATGAAAAGTATTTTTATTGATTCGTATCGGTGAAAATACCGATTTTAATATCAATAAAAAAAAAAATAAAAAAAATGTGATGATGATGATGATAATAAAAATACGCGTGACGGTTTCGAAAAAAGTGAAATTATAAATAAAGTAAAATTAAAATGGAAGGAAAACGATTACTTTCGGTACCCGATGGTGGTAGTTGTTTGAAAAATTTCGATGGTACAAAAATTGGATCGCCGACAATCGATGGTTCGCCATCTTCAGGTTCGTTTTACCAGGATTCTAAATGGGAATTTGCTTTGCGAACTAAAAAGAAAAAATTTTAATTATTCCAAATTGGTTTCATTTAGGATCGACCAACACACCTCGAAGGGCGAGTTTTATAACATCGTCATCTTATGGAGACACTCGAAGAATATCATATTCACCCGGTACCGATTATTCACGAAATCAAAAATCATTCGATGGTAATAATTGTAATAATTATTATTATTTTAAAAAAAAAAAATTTTTTATAAGGAAAAATTAAAGTAACTCATCTTGAGAGATCCGATTCACAATAAAGAGTTTTTTTTTTGTACATTTCGCATGTTTCATGTAAAGGGAAAGAAATGGAAAAAAAAAATGATGATAAAACGAGACAGGATTTTTTACACATGAGCATTGAAAAACGACGTCATTTATTTGCACGAAACCTTGCCCTTGGAAAATTTGACGTTAAAGATGGAGGAGAGTCTCGTGGAAAAACACAAATGATGTATCATAACACGACGATGACGACATCGTCGTCTGGATCTTTTCAAAATCCACCAGACAGAAGGTTGACCATATTGTCTCCACATTCGGCAAATTGCACTCCGGATTTATTACAATTTGGACAATTTAAAGAAACAAATCGTAAATCATTAACTTTGCCCAAATTATTACTTCCGAATACTAACGAATGTAACGTCATAAGGTGAGTTTATAAATATGTCATTTAATTTTTTTTTTTTTTTTTGAAATAAGAGCGTACGTTCATGGTCTTGTCCGCCATTTTCACTTTCAAAAACTCTTGACAAAAAAAAAAAATGAAGTAACTCGTCAAAGTCAATGTTTTGAAGGAAAAAATGAGTGCAACAAGTGTTGTCGTCGTATTTGTTCTCTTTTTCGCGTTGTATTGTCGGGATGTGTGTGGCGCGTTCCTTAAAAACTTTTAGTTGATTAAAAAAAAAGGAAAAAAGAAAATGAGGTCACCGGTATGGCTGGCGGACACACATAGCGCGCTACAAATCGATAGTATTGACCTTAACTATAATTCATTTCTCATCCCCGTCGTGTAAAGTTCATACATACATAAAAACTGATGGGGTGGGGGGGGAGGATTTATAAAAAAAAATTATGTAAGGGGGAAAAAGGTCGCGTGGCTAACCTCCTTCCGAAATTACACATTTGCGATACAAAATAATTTGATAGTATGACTGACATCATTTTTCCAAAATAAAAATGTCTTTGTTTTCCTCTCTCTCTCTCTCTCTCTTACACACACACATTTATAATTTTTTTTTTTTTTAATATTTGACGTCATAAATATTGAAAGAAAAAAAACTATGTTCAATGACACCAAATATATATACCAAAAAATTTTAGATTGTGGTGACATCTTTAGGAAAATTTTGTAAGGCCTTAAATTGGGTTAAAGTTTCTATTGATTAAAAAAAATGAGTCAAAAAAAAAAAAAAAAAAAACGTGAATTGCAAATAAATTCTAAAAAAAAAAAAAGAAAAACAAATTTTTCCATTTTCGAACAATTACATTCCCAAAAAAAAAAAAAAAAAAGGAAAATTATTTCATTTATTAATAATGGTTTTCCGTTTTTAGAAGTAAATCTATTAAAGTTTTCTTTTCTTTTCTTTTTTGGAAAATTTGTTTCGTGTAATTGTGTTGATAATTAAATGAAAATGTCCGATAAAATTAAAATTTAATTTTTTTTTTTTTGTGTAAATGACGTCATTGTGTGAATGACGTCCTCCGTATGTAATAATAAGGATCGTCGTGTAACGATCGGATGTTTCCTACGTTTGTTAGACATGTGTCGAGATAAATTATCAGTCTGAAAAAAAAAATTTAGTATTCACATGACGATTAGGCATGATGCCCCCCCTCGGCTCCCCACGATAAAGATTTTTAATTGGAGTTTATTTATTTACGTGGATCCGCGGCATGCCTGCCTTTAGAATAATGTTAATTAGTATTTAATTTCTTCGTAAATTATTTCTTTTTATTTCTCATGATTTTTTTTTATTTTTTTTTATAATTGTCAAAAAAAAGTAGGGAGATCCTTTTTCCCTTCCACCCCTCCCCTTCCCCCACACCTTCTCCCGTCCCCCCGAAAAAAAAAAAAAAAAAGTATCTGGGCAAGGCAACTGAGCATTAAAAAAATATCGTATTAAATTTAGCTTAGAACTCTCGGGTGAAAGACATTTTAAATCGACCCATTTTCCAAACGTTATTCATATAGGCGAAACAGTCTTTTAAAATTTTTAAAAATTGTAGTACAAGCAGCGACGGCGCTGGACTTACAGATTTTTTTTTAATTTAAAGTTCCTGCGGCAAAAAGTAATATGTGCAAAAGCTACAAAAGCTCGAAAGAAAAAAAAAATTAAATAATAATAATAATATTAAAAAAATCGTGACATTTATGATGATGATGAAAATGTCACATGGAAAATGTTAAAGCGTTGTTCGGGAAAGCGGAAAAAAAACAAAAAAAAAAAAACCATCGGCGAGTTTTTCAAAACGAATAAAGTCAAATGAAAAGAAAATTATTTTTCCGGTTTCATAACCCCCGGGTGATAGTGATGAAATAATCACTTGTTTCCGTTTGCCTCCCAGGTTTCCACGACTGGAATTTCATAGAAGCGCGCCATGTGATTTTTCGTTTACTGTAAGTCACCTGTTCCGGTTACCTCTCGCGTTCGCGATTTTCGTCGTCGGTTCTATCCCGGATCTCTCGGACCGATGTTTTTTTTTTTTTTTTTTTTTTTTTTTTCCCTTTTCTCTTTCTTTAATAATTTGAACATTGTACTTGCCTTATTTAACGATAATAATAATAATAATAATAATTGAGATAGTAACGTGCGTACCCGCGTTAAATTTTAATTGTAAAAAAAATATATAGTTCGCTTATGGAAAAAATTTTATTTTTTAACATATGTTTAAAGGCCGTTTATTGTTAAAATAAAAATATCGAAGATTAATAAAAGGAAAACAAATTTTCTCACTCTCTCTCCCACTCTCTCTCTCTCTCTCTCTCTCTCTCTCTTTTTCAATTAAATTAAAATGTTTTTACGTCTAATTAAATAATAATTACGATATTTGTATAGTTTTTGTAAATTGAGAGTTAATCGATATTAATTGATAATAAATTAGTTTTGGAAAGAAAAAAAAAACGTGAAAAATTTACGTTTTTCCTTTTTCCTTTTTCCTTTTAGCTTTTAGTTATGACCGGAAATAAGTTTTAATTAAATAATTTTTGTAATGACGTTGTTGTCTATGTCGAAAAATACTCGATTAGTTAGTTAGTTAGTTGATATATTACAATACGCGGGTAAAAATGTTTTTTCTTCGTTGAAACGATTAAATGAGTTTTAAGTGCGTTAAATAATCAACCCCTTAATCAACCCTTATTTTCCATATTACTTGTTGAAAAATTACCGTGAAAAAGTGGAGGAAAACTTTTTTCCACATTTTGTTAAAAGTTTTCTTTTTTTTTCTATTTTTTTGGAGTGTCTATTATGTGAGTGAGTGAGTGAGTGAGTGTGTGAGTTAACAATGTAAAAGATTGTGACAAGGGAGTGACTAATTATTTGGAATTTGAACCGTGTCAAAAATCAAAAAAAAAAGAAAAACATTTTCAAATTATTAATTCGATACGATAACAAATTTTTTTTTTCTCTTTTTCTGACGGTTTTTTTTTTTTTTTTATATCCAATCAGTTGATGATGACAATCGTTCGCGTTTTCGTAAAAAGACAGCACATTTATATTTACTAATAATAATAAATGACAAAATGTTAACGAGGGAAAAATAATAATAATAATACTTTGTGTAGTTTTGTTTCGTTTTTTTTTAAAAAAAAAAAATGATTTCGTTGTCGATTTTCCACGACTACGATGACGACGGGTCCGGAGTTGAGAAAATCACGATTTCGTGTTAGTGTATCATGCTATGCGTTGCTTTGTTCATTCAAAAGTTCATTTACGGTAAATTGATTAAATACATTAAAATGAAAATGTTTAAAAACAACAATAACAACGTCGTCGTGAGTCAAAAAGGAGGATTGGGAGAGGGTGGAATGGTTAAAATAACCGAATCGGATGTTGATGATGTTGTTGTGACGAAAGAAGGAAATAATGGACAGGAATTAAGGGAACCCCCGTTGGAAATTCGTTTGACATCCGTTGGTAACGAATATCGAAGGAGAAGATCATCTACTAGGGTTCATTGTAAAAGGCACGTGAGAAGAATCGTGTCGGATTGTAGGCGAGCAAAAAGGTGATGTGATGTGTTAAAAAAATATTCTTTTTCCTCTTCTCCCCTCGCCCCCGCTCCCGCTCCCCGTCCCCCTACACACACAAACACAAAAAAAATTAAAAATAAAAATTTTATTTTTGGAAAAAAAAAAAAAAGGAGAGTAACAAACGTGAAATTTATCGTCGCGTATAATAATAATAATAATAATAATAAATAGATATTGTCTATATTTAGTCTGTTTCTCTCTCTCTCTCTCTCTCTCTCTCTCTTTTATCTCTTCTTGTACATATATTTTATTTGTAAAAAAGGTTTCGTTTTCGTTTTTGGTCAATTTTAACCAAAAAAAAAAAAAAAAAAGAAAAAAAATGGTTGCCGTTCGTTGCGTTTGATGATGATGATAAAAATATAAATTCTCATATTTTTATTTGAGGCGGTTTATAAAAAAATCCTTCTTTTTCTTTCTTTTTTTTTTTTAATTTTTTTGTTATTTTTACCGTTGAGGATTTTTCGAAATGAAAAAAAAATCGAACAAACAAACAAAAAAACAAACAAACGTAGTTTTTGCTTCGTATAAAGTTGACAAAAAAAAAAAAAAAACAAAAACTTTTCCCGTGTTTTTTTAAATTTAAATCACCCCCCCCCCCAAAATGAGAGAATTTATTTTACGGTTGAAATTAAACAGAGAGAGAGAGAGAGAGAAATGAATTTTAACACGGGGGAGGGGGGGGGTTAACCGAGATTTGTGGCGTTTATATATTTATTTCCCGCGAGTAAATTAAACACAAATTAAAAATTAAGGAGGTTGCATTATAATAATACATCGTAAATTTTTTTTTTTTTTTTTTTTGCAAAGATGCAACAAATAAATAAAAAAAGTGAGTGTGCGTGTGCGTGGGGGTGTGCCCCGTGTGCCCCGTGTGCTCCCCTACATTTTTATTTCTATTGTAAAATTCCTACTTGACGCATTTGTGACTCTTTTTGTCAATTCTTAATTTATTTTCATTATAAAAAGAAAAAAAAAACCGGGTCGACGATTTCATCATGTTGTCGTCGCCTTTTTAATAAAAATTTTTAACCCGTTAAATTTCCAAAATGTCGACGTAATAATAATAATAATAATAATTAGCGTTGCTGTTTGTACGTACGCCATTTGTCGACCGCGTAACAGTGTTTCGTTATTTTTATAATTTATATAAATTTTTTATTATTAATTTTTTTTTATTAATTAGGGGATTTATTTTGCTGATTGTTAATTTCCCTTTTACATTTTCTATCCGGGGGGAGGGGGGTGGAAATCACCGGGTCGTATCAAAGAAAATGATAATAATTATCGGAAAATTTGTCCGTATTTTTTTTTTTTTTTTGCAAAGAACCAAAAATTTTCTTTCGTTTTTATTGTTTCGAAATGAAAATGGTCGTCGTCGTACAATATAAAAAATTGTTTACATTTTCCTTTGGCTGAACTTTGTGACATTATTAATAATCCTTTTGGTAAAAGGAAAGAATCATTTCTAAGGTATTTTAAAATTAAAACCACATTTGGAAAACCGTAGTAAAATTCAAAATGGAAAATTTCTAAACATGAAATTTTTTTTTTTTTTTTCGAACTAGTTCGACTTTTACTGGGGGGACAAATTAAAAAATCGATTTTTTTTTTTTTTTAATTTATTTGAAATCAATAAATCGATATTCTTTAATATATATTTTTTAAATTAATCATCATTCGCTCGAGGAGGTTTTTGATTGGTTGTACGAAAAGTTTTTATTTAAATATTTTATTTAATTATTTATGTGGGGGGAGAAAACAAGATGTCTTCTGATGGTAACTTGCAAAAAAAAAAAAAATTTTCATCTCTGTCTCCTTTTTTTTTCTTTTTTTTGGAATTGAAAATTTTGAGCAGTACTCGAGACATGAGGGGGGGGGGGTGTTATTAGAAAAACAAAAAATGAATGAATTTAATTTCATTACGCGAAAAATAATAATAATAATAATAATAATAATAATGATAATAAAGAAGAGTAGAAAGAGATGAAAAAAAAAAAAAAATGATGAAATCAAAAAGAAATTTTTTTATTTAAAACAATTAATAATAAAGCAAAAGAAATCAAAAAAAAATTGTTGTTGTTGTTGTTGTTTGACAACTTTTTTGTTTTGTTTATTAAAAAAAAAATTTTTTTTTTTTAAATTGAGTTTAAGTAAAAAAAAAGGAAAGAAAAGGAAAAAAGGAAAAAAAAGGAAATTGTAAATATTGAAAAAGTTTACAAATGGATAATTGTTTTATCATCATCAAGTTAATTGTATGCATATTTATTTATTTATTTATTTATTATTGTGTATTTTATTAAAATAATAATGAAAGTGTTACTATGTGTGTTTGTTGTGTTTGTTGTTTGTTATGCGTGTGGCGATGGATGTTGTAAAAAAATTTAACACGAATAAGTTGCAAATTTTTTATCACTTTGACCTCATAGAAGTATAAATATAAACTTTGAGTGTTAATGATACTAACTTGGCAAATTATTTCCTTTTTTTTTTTTTTTTTTATTTTAATGATGTAATAAATAAATAAATAAATAAATAAATAAATTTTTTACGTAGATTTAAAGTATTTTTTTTACGACGTTAAACGAAAAAAAAAGAAAAAAAAACACGTTTCTTATTATTATTATAATTACTTTTAATTGAAATTTTTTTTTTGTTTTTTTTTTTTGTTTTTTTCGAATTATGGAAAAAAAAATGGGGAAAAAGGGAAAAGGAAAAAGGAAAAAAGGGAAAAAGAAAAGAAAAAACAATAATTTGCAATAAAGTTTATCGATTTATTCACACAAAAAAAAAAAAAATAAAATAAATAAAATTTTTTTTTCTGATGGAAAAAAAAAAAAAAATGTACATTTGTTCATTCGTGTCAATTTTAAATGTGACAAAAAAAAATTTGTTTTTATTGATTTTTATTATTATTATCATTTTTTTTTTTGAATTATTAAATGAAAATATTTCTTTTCAATGCGTGGGTAGAAAAAGAAAGATGGAAGGGGAGGAAGGGTGGGGGAGTGGAGGGAGTGAATAAAAAACGTTAAAAAGTTATTATTATTTTTTAGAATTACTAACAAATCTTAATAATTTTTTTTTGTTTTGTTTTCCTCTCTCTCTCTCATTCCCCCTCCCGCTCCCACAACAATTCAATTAAGCGATTTATTTATTTATTGTTTTCTCTCTTTTTTCAGTTTCGAAGTTGAAAATGGGGCGTCACCGGGTCGAAGTCCTTTGGAAGGGGGTTCATCTCCTTCCGCTGGACTCGTTTTACAAAATTTACCCACGAGAAGGGAATCGTTTTTATATAGGAGCGATTCCGATTTTGAAATGTCACCAAAATCAATGTCGAGGAATTCTTCAATAGCTAGTGAAAGGTAATTAATAATATTAATATTAATAATAATAATACTTTTAATTGATTAATTGTAATTGTCACACGCCGCGACGTGTAAATAAGCGAAGGTGGAAAGGAAAGGGAAGGAAAGGGAAAGAACATCGATTAAGGTTTTGATCAATTCCTCCCGTCCGGAGGAAGGAGGAGGGAAGAGGGAGAGGGGGGAAACGAAGGGTAAATTATAAAAAAATTTAGAAAAAAAAGGAAGCGGGAAGGGAAGGAAACCAGGGGGTGAAATCAAAGGGGGAGAAGGTGTTGGAAAGATGGTGTTGTTAGTGAAAGGAAATGAGCAGAGAGAGAGAGAGAGAGAGTAGAAAAAGGAAGGTAAATAAATTGCGAAAATGGGTCCTTTTCTCGCTTATATTTATTGATAATTTTAAATATAAAACATAAATGGAAAAAGCTATTTATAGTGACGGGGGGAGGGGGGGAAAAAAAAAAGAAAAAATCAATAACTGACTCTGCGCTTTCGTCACTCTCACTTTTGCTGCACTAAAACATTTTTTTTTTTTTTTTTTTTTTTTTTAATATTTGAATTGCAATAATAATAATAATAATAAAAGGGCAAAAGACGAAACTGAAAAAAAAAAAGAAAATAAAAGAAAATTGATAAATATTTATTTTGTGTAAATTGAAAAGTATACCGTGAAAAAAAAACAAAAAAACTCATGACGATGATGATGACGATGATGATGAATTGTATTGATTATTACTATTATTATTATTATTATTATTATTATTTCGTAGGAAATTTATTCACGAATGATGACGATTTTGAATAAAAAACGTTTCCTATAAAATATTTTTTATGAATTCTCATATATTTATTAATATTTAGATTTAAAAAAAAAAAAAAAAAGACGGCAGCGAAGCACAAAACTCGCATTTAAAAAAATTTCATGTCATGTAAAATTATTATTATTATTATTATTATTATTTTCCCGGGGAAAAAAGCTGAATCTTTTCCGATAAAAAAAAAATAAAAAAAAAAAAATTACCGAAATTAAAAAAAAAATTTCAAATTTAGATTCTTTCGAAAAAAAAAAAAAAAAATTTATTTTATACTTTATTTGATGAAAATCCGAGAAACGTTTTTTTTTTTTTTTTTTTTTTTTTTTCTCCAAAAGCTTCTGCTGGGAAATTTTTTTATATTTTTTTTTTATTTTTCCTTATGGGTTTTATTTTTGATTAGTTCTTTTGAGTCTTTCATTTTTTTGTTTGTTTGTTTGTTACCTTTGATGGAGCAAAAAGAAAAGATAATTAAACCTTACGTTTTGTCCTTTACTCTTTTTTCTTTGCAAAAAAAACACGACATTTTTGTACGCGACATTTTCCTTTTGTTAAGGTTTTTTAAATAATAATAATTAAAGTAATTGATAAAAAAAAAGAGAGAGAGAGAGAGTGAGAGTAAGAGGGAGAAGGAATTTTTACTACGTGCTCATTTTTGTGTATACCACGAACATAACTAAAATGAATATTTTTTTGTTTTTATTTTTATTTTTATTTTTTGTGTCAAGCATGAAAAGTAGTTGTAATCGTGACGGTTGTTAAAAGGAAAATGTTGTGGGGGGGAAAAGGGAGGGAGGAAATATGTTGAGGGGTCAACGGGAAAAAAAAAAAAAAAAAAAATTTCAATATGCAACAAGTTTCCGGATATAAAAATAAAAAAAATAAAAAAAAAGAATAGACAATGAGAGACATCTTGCGTTTTTTTTCAAAAGTAAAATTATTTCTATAATTATCCAAGGAGGTCGCGAGAGATGAAATTTTCCCGGATAAAATTTTCCAGGGCCTCCGGATTCCGGGTCAGGCACCCTTGCGACGTTCTAGGCCTCCACGAAAAAAAAAATAAAAAAAGAGAAGAACGAGAAGAACCGGATGATCTGGGTTTTCGAATGCGGTCTTTTGGTTTTTTTTATTTCGGGCTCCCTCTTCCACCCCCTCCCCCCCGTTTTAATCTAGGAGGTTTTTTTTTTTCGAATCGGTTTTCATCCCCTCCGTTTAAAACGTTTTTTTTTTTTTTCTTAATGGGTTTTTCTCATGAAATTTTTTTTTTTTTTTTTTTTTGTAAATTAATAATTATGATGATATTTGCTTAGGCTGAAAGTTTGGAGAAAATCTTTTTTCCCCGCTCAAAAGAAATTTTCGAAAATGAGGAATCGAGCGAGTTACGGAGAGGGTAAAAATATTTTCACCCCCTCTCTCTCCCCCTTCCTTCCCCAAAAAAAAGAAAGAAAAAAGGTTTTCGAACCTTTTTAAAAATAAATTCGCGAAATTTTTCTACCTGGGTGATTTAAGAAATGTTTATAAATAAACGAATACTCATTGATTATGTCGAACGAAAATGATGATGATAATAATAATGATAATAATAAAGATGATAATAATAATAATAATAATAATAATAATAATTATAATTATAATTTTTTTTGGAGAGAGAAAAAAATATTGTCGAATATATTTTAATGTTCCTCTCGATGTGTTCTGATTTCCACTCTTTTTTCTTTTTTTTCTTTTTTTTTTTTTTTTTTAATTTCTTCCAGGTTTAAGGAACCTGAAACTTTTCTGGATCGAACGTACGTACTCCTTATTTTCGGCTTTGGCATGCTTTTTTCTTTTTTTCTTTTTATTTTTATTTAGAAAAATCTTATGTATTCAGAGCTTTATTTAGGTTAAAGTAGTTGATATTTTCACACGACAGAAATTTAGGGAATACCGGGAGGGGGGATGGGAGGGGGAAGGGAAAGGAAAAATGACTAAGTGCCTTTAACATTGTTTGCTCGTTAAAGTAAATGAAAAAGTAAAAAATTGATTTTATATCAATGAATAAAAAAAAAAAAAAAAAAAAAAAAAAGAAAGAAATCAATATCAATTGTTGTGTATTTCGGTTTAATTTCGGTTGTCGGAATGAAATGTAAGGAAAAAAAAAGGTTCAGATGATGGCGGTGGATTTTCCGATAATTGGAAAAGCCACCACAGCAAAATAAAAGAAAAGAAGCCATTATCATCGAATGTGTTAAAAAAAAAAAAAAAAATGAAAGAGTTATATATATAACCTCAACGAATTTTTCAAAGTAGAAAAAAGAAAAGTTCAGTTTAAAAAAAAAAATTTATTACAAACACACGCCCTTTTCCCCTCCCCTCCCCCTCTCCCTCCCCGCCGTTCGTGAAAACTGGAAAATGATGGCGAACGGTCCCCGACCGAACGAACGAACGAATTTGTTGTACCTGCGCACAAAAAATTATTTTATTGGCCTTTTTGAGTTTTTTTTTTCATTTTCTGCTTTCTTTTTTTTTTTTTTTTTTACTCTTTTTTCTCTCTTTCGTGTTTTCACTACCAAAAATTTTGTATTTTCCTTCGATTTTTCCTTCGATTTTTCCTTTTTTCCTTTTCATTTTCCTTTCTTTGCTTTCGTGTTTTTAATTTAATTTAATTTTAATTGTCATTCTTTGTCATTGTCGATTTATATATATTGTTTTTAAGTGAGTGCGTGAGTGAGTGAACGTGTGCGTGCGTGAGTGCGTGCGTGCGTGCATGAGAGTTTGTTCGTTCGTTTGTTCGTTTGTTTGTTAGACAAAACAAATAAATCGAATAAATCAATTTTTTTATCGGATTTTTATTTGTGAGTGATGAATATTTTAAAAAAAAAAAGTGAAAGTTTAAAATAAAAAAATGTGTTCACATTAAAAAAAAAATAATAATAATAATAAATGTAAAAACAACAACTAAACGATTTCGAATCCAATAAAAAAATTTTAAAAAAGTGGGGGGGCGATTTTTGTAAATGTGAATATTTTTTTTTTTTTTTGTTAAATCCGCGCTTATTTTTATTTTTTTTATTTTTATTTTTTGGGGGAAAAAGAGAGAGAGAGAGAGAGAGAGAGTGAGTGAGAGTGAGTGAGAGAGTGACGTGATAAATTCAAACTTTAAATATTATTTTTAGTTTTTTTTTAGTTTTTCGAGTCGTCGTGATGCGTGCAAAAATTAAAATTGTCACATTTTTAATTTAGTTTAAGTGATTTTTCTAGAAGAAAAAATTAATAATAATAATAATAATTTTTTAAAATCGGATTAAAAATCAATTGTCTATCTATCTTTCTATCTCTTTCTCATTCTTCTTCTATCTGTCTATCTTTGTTTTTTTTTTTTTTTTTTTTTTGTTATCGACTAGGAAAAAGTTTAAAAAAAATAAAATTAAAAAAAGTACAGTGTGAGTGTCAAAAAATTCCAGTTGGGGGGGTGGTGGAAAGTGTTCGAAATAATAATAATAATAATAACGTTAATTTCGTGTAGGTTTAATCAAAAGGTTTTTCTTTTACCTGACACGTCGTTAAAATGTTTCCTCCAACCATTTTGAATTTATCCAATTATTATTTTGTGTTGCGAATGTAAAAAAAAAAATTCGATTAGTCTTTCGTATTGATTTATTCGTTTTAAAAGCAGTCGTTATTATCATTATTATTATCATTATTATTACTATTATTAAATTTTCGTTTTTACGCACAAAAAAAAAAAAAAAAAAAATCCGATGTTGGAAAGACGACGAAAAGCAAAATTTTTTTTTAAAAAATCGATAAATTTTGTCAGTCAAAAATTGTTTTTTTTTTTTTTTTTTTGATATTTAAACGTTCACGTATATATAGTAATAAAAAATTGTTATTACATAAGAGTGAGAGAGAGAGAGAGAGAGTGGGGGGAGGGGAGGTAGAGGAGTATTTTTGTGGTTTCACTCTAGCGAGAGCTCCTACTCTATGATGTCTTAATAATAAAAATAAAAATTTTTTTAAAATGTCAGAGGTCAAAGCTTAAATAATATTATCTGTAATCGAATTGCCGATATCGGTTTTATTTATATTTTCCAATCATTATTATTATTATTATTATTATTATTATTATTATTATTATTTTTTGTAATTTTATTTGATTTTTAAAGGGAGACTAGGGGGTGGGGAGAGAGAAAGAAAAAAATTTAGACCAGGAGAATAGTGGTAATAATAATAATAATAATAAGAAAATTATAATGATTTATTGTAGCAGTAATAACGAATTTAAAAAAAATGATTTATAAACAATAATAATAATAATAATAATAATAATAATAATAGTAATAATAATAATAATAATAATAATAATAATAATAGTGAAAAATGTCTAAGAACGAAGAAGATTCAAAGGATTCGAAGAGACTTTTAAGTGATAAAATCACTTCATCCCGGGGTGGTGGGGGAGATTTATGTAAAAACGGTTTGACAGCGAGTTTAACCGGAGTTTCCGGTGATAATAATAATAATAATAATGATGATGATGATGATGAATCTGGAGTACAGGACAAAGGAAGAGAATCCCTTCCTAGAACTCTAAGCACGAGCGTTTTAAGAATAAAAAATAGAAATAGTTTCTGGGATAAATTTTGGCAAGATAGACGGCAAGCGGATACGTAAGTACATTTATATCTCGTGCCAAAAAAAAAAAAATTTGTAAATCATCGTGTCGTCGTCGGTTTTCCTTTTTTTTTTTTTGGGGGGGAGGCGATACCGAAAAACGAAAGAAAAACATTTTCAAGGCATTTAGTCATTTTTGTTATTTAATTAATTAATCAATTAATGCCACCACTTGTGTCGTTTATGATTCTAGCATTCTCTTGTCAATTTTACATTATTGGCAAAAATTATGTGATGATGATGATAATAACAATGATAATAATAAATTCCTTTTTTTGCAATTTTTTTTGTTTTTATTTTTATATTTTTTATATTTTTTTTTTTTTTTTGCTGGACAGCTGGAGAAGAATGTTTTTTGCATTTTTATGTTTTTTTCCTTTTTTTAAAATTTGTATGATTTTTTTTTTAATAATAGAAATTTCCATGGAAATCCTAGCTGTGACTGCTAGTAACCGCTAAATGCGAAAAGGAAATCGAATATTTATTATTGATTTCGATTGAAATAAGAATTAAAATATTTGCGAAAGTTCCAGAACGAATAAAACACCGCGGGGAGCCGGGGGGAGGGGGTCGTTGTTGTTTTAAAGCAGAAAATTACGACAAGTGCTTCTGCTTGTTTGCTTGTTAGACCGCCTTAATATTTAAATTTTCGAACATTTTTTAGAAAAAAAAAAAAAAGACGCTAAGAAGAAAAAAAAAATTTTTTTTTTTAATATTTTGCCGATTTTATTTTCCAGTCATGGAGAAGATTTAATAGTAACTCCGTTTGCTCAAATTTTGGCGAGCCTTCGAAGTGTTAGAAATAATTTTCTATGCCTGACAAACGTGCCATCAAACAAACAGTGAGTAGATAAATCCTTTAAAATCCTTTAATAATAATTTTTTTTTTGTTTATTTATTTACTCGAACTCTTTTGCAGATCGAGAAGGTCTTCGGGAGCCCAAACAAGTGGTACTTCACCACAACCGAGAATGACAAACCCTCAGGACGAGTCATATATAAAACTGGCAATAGAAACAATGGAAGAATTAGACTGGTGTTTGGATCAACTGGAAACAATACAGACGCACAGATCTGTGTCGGATATGGCTACGTTGAAGGTAGTTTTAACGCTTTGTCAAATGTCAAAAGGTTTGTTATAATAATAATTAAATTAGGTTCCGGAAACGAGAGAGAGAGAGAGAGAGGTACGGTGGTAGAGGGTGCCCCGGAAGGAAGGAGAGAGAAAAAAAATTGGCGCAATGACGTCTTAACCCCCCCCCTTTCTCAACTTCAACCACAAAAAAAAAATCATGAAGTTGCGAGTTAGAAAAGAAACTGGGAAGGAGGGAAGAGGAGGAAAGGGGAACCTTTTAGTTAATATTTTTTAAAATTTTAATTTTTTATTAATTCTCAAGTGGTTTGATGATGAAAAGGTTTTTTTCCCTTTAAAAAAAAAAAAATAAAAACCTTTTCTCTCTTTTTTTAAAAAAAAAAAAAAGAAAAGGTACGACTTTTTAATTTATTCCTCCCTTACGCCCCCCTTCGCCCCGTTAAAACGAGTCTTTCTATTTATTTACATAACCCCCCCCCCGACCAGTTTTTGGACGAGTGATTACACCGACTTCGAATTTTTGTTTATCTAAAAAAAAAAAAAACCGACATTAACAATTAATTTTCGAAATGGTCGAATACGATTAAACGAAATCAATTAGTTTAAACAATAAGAAAAGGGGAATACGACAGAAGGAAGGGAAAAAGGAAAAGGAGGGAGGGAAGGGGCGGCGGCGGTGGTGATGATAATAATAATAATAATGAAGATATCGTGAAATTTTTTAAAGAAAAAGTAAAAAAATACAAATTTAAATGTTATATTAGCTCGTTTAATGTTAAAGCGCCTGATATTGATATGTACAAACACACAGAAAAGAGAGAGAAGGATAGATAGAGAAGAAGAGATAGTGATAGAGAGAAAGAGAGAGAGAATAAACCCGGTCGATCGGAGTAGACATGAGAAATCTCACATACGCATTTCAGGAGCGGTTCTTAATTTTTTTATCATTTCATTCTTTCCATTAATTAACGTTAATTTTCGTTTAAAAATAAATTTTTTCCCCTGTTTTAACGATCGGTGAATGAATCGATAACCTTCGATGTAAAAAAAAAAAGTAACTATAAATGAATTATTATTATTATTATTATTAATAACGGATTCGAATTCGATTTTTTTTTAAAAAAAATTTTAAATAAAAAAAAAAGATTCGACAGGAAAACAGAGTAACGGAATTAAATTTCAATGAAAAGTAATTAAAAAAAAAAGAGAAAATAGGTTCAAGAAAAAGGTTCAAGGTTCAACACGAAATTTTTAAATTGGTGCACGTGCAACGCACGAACACAATCCGTTCGTTAGAAATATGGCGTACGCGAAAAGCAATAATGATAATAATAATTAATAGATGTATAACTGTCTCGTGTTAGTGTTGTGATAATCAAAACTCGTTATCACCATTTAATCATTTCCGTTCCCTGAACGGTTGACCCCGGTTGATTAATTTTCTCTCCTCACCTTGATCCCGCCATTTTTTTTTTTTTTAAATAATAATAATAATGATGATTTGTTTTTCGTTGGTATTCTTATTCTGGCACTGAAGTGAAAATTAAAAACGATTTGATTTTTTTTTTCGGAGCGAAACTGGGTCGGTTCTCGTATATACGCAAACATTATTGGGTCATCATCATCATCATCATCATCATCATCATCATCTTTGTAGTGGGAAGTTAGTAATGCGCTTGTCGTGACGTAAAACTTTTTTTTTTTTTTTTTTTTTTGAAAAAAACAAACAAAAACAAATAAATAAATAATTAATTAATTAAACAAGATTATATTAATCTTAAGTGAACGTGTCGGTTGTTGTTGTTGTTGTTGGTTTTTTTTGTACGTTTCGAACGTCCGGTTGATACGAACGGATTTGCATTTTATGGGTTTAAAAAAAAAAGAAAAACATTCGCGTGAGTTGTAAAAAAAAAAAAAAAAAAATTATCGTTACAATCATTTCTCACGGTTTTTTTTTTTTTTTGGGGGGGGGGGGCAAAAACTAATAACGCTCCTTCTTTCTCTCATCTTTGAAACTTAAGAAGAAATAAATATGTTTTTTGTTTTAATGATGATGATGATGATGAGAATTTGGTACGGTGAAGAAATTTCTAGTACAGAAAAGTTACAAAAAAGTGTATTATTATTTAAAAAACGAACGTTCGTAGAGGAAAATACGAAATAGTGAAGAAAACTAATTTGTTATTATTATTATTATTATTACATTTTTGAAAATGTTTTGAAATTAGAATTATATGGTCGTCGTCGTCGTTTTTTACACAATTCGCTTGGTAAGTTTTGTCAAAATGATGGAAAACATTATTATCATTATTATTTTTTACTTTTACGTAATATTAATAATTGACACCGCATACATACATGATAGTAATCAAAAAAAAAAAAAAACCGTTACAAAACAGAGTCACCATCAGAGTCCTTCGGGGTAAATTTTTTTTTTTTTACAATTGTGAAATCATATTTTCATATTAGTTATTTCTTTTCGAAATTTTTTCGATTTCCCGCCTTTTATCCTTGATTCTTTAGCAAAGAAAAGACGGAAAATAAAATGTAAGAATCGAAGCGAGGAAATTCTGGAAACAGTGGGGGAGAAAAAAAAAGACATGCCGCCCGGAAATAGGAGTGGGGGGATTTCTTCGAGAAGCAATTTCATAAATGTCATTCCTTTTCCTTTTCCCTTTTTCCTTTTTTTTTTTTTGTAATGAAAAATTAAAATGAAGGAAAATTTTTTTGTTTTCTTTTTTTTTAATAGTCGAAATAAAATTTATAAAAAAGAAATGAAGTTTGAAGGTCCAGTTCCAGAAGGGGATGAAATATCCTTCGTTCAAATAATCGCGTTCATCGGTTTCATCTTCGATTTAACTTTGATCTTTGGTTTGGCCATATATCAGGTAAAATGAATAAATGCAAAAAAAAAAAAAAAAAAAGAACAGTTAAGTAAAGAAATGTGCATTTGTATTTACGAATTGATGACGTTTTTTTTGACACGTTCACCCTCCCGCCCCCCGCCGTTCCTCAAACAAACGAACGTGCAAAAAGTTCGTTTGTATACGGCCCCGTACCTCTCGTCTCTAATAATAATGATAATAATTTTGCAACATAATGACTAGTCCGAGAATCTAATTTAATTATAAATATTTGTTGTTTGCATAATAAATTTTCATTAAATAATTATTATTATTATCTAACACGGTTCTAATTGATAATTTCCAAATTGTCAAAATATACATAATAATAATATTATATTATTTGTTTTTTTTTTATAAATTTTGTCAATTTAGTTCAAACGTATGTTAAATAAGGAGCTTAGTCATTTTTCCGAATCAAGTAAAAGTGGAAATCAAATATCCGAATATATATGCTCCACTTTTTTAGGTGAGTTTTCAACTTTTCCTCCCACAGTGGTTTTTCTTTTTTCTTATCTTTGGGGGAAAACTAATTTTTCTTCATTACATTTTAATTTCAGACAAACAACAGGAATTAGATCTCCCTTCCCTTCGCGTCGATGAAGTGGAATCAAGAAGCAATAAGAAACAAGATAAGGGTAGACATGGATCGAATACTATGTCTCAAATATCCGGCGTGAAAAAACCATTGTGTCACACGAATAGTTTTACCGGAGAAAAAGTACCCACGTACGGTGTTGAAACACGTCACGAAGAAGAATTGGGAAAAGTTAGTCTTTCTGCGTTTTTTCATCCCTCCCCTCTCAAAAAAACCTAAGGGAATGCACACGATTATTATTATTATTATGGTATTAATTAATTAATTAATTAATTTTCAGACGCTTGGTGAAATCGACAAATGGGGAATTGATATTTTCCGAGTTGGTGAATTATCTAATAATAGACCATTGACCGCTGTAGCGTTTCAAGTTTTTCAAGTGAGGAACCATTTTCTTTTTTTTTTTTTTATTGATTTATTTACTGATGCGAAGGAAGAAGAACAAAAGAAATTGTCATTATTATTATTATTATTATTATTATTATTATTATCAATTTTTTTTTTTAGAATCGAGATTTGCTTAAAACCTTCCTCATACCCCCAAAGACTTTTATTACTTTTATGATGACTTTAGAGGATCATTACGTAAAAGATAATCCTTTTCATAATTCACTTCACGCCGCTGACGTCACTCAAAGTACCAATGTATTATTAAATACGCCTGCTTTAGAGGTGAGCTCAAAACTCGTGTTAAAAAATACATTAATTGTTATCGTAATTTGTATATTAAATTATTAATTTGCAATTATTATTATTATTATTATTATCACTATTAGTCTGTATTTACTCCTCTGGAAATATTTGCGGCATTGTTTGCTGCTTGCATACACGATGTCGATCATCCAGGACTGACCAATCAATTTTTAATCAATTCAAGTGAGTTTTTATTATCATTATTATTATTATTAAAAAAAAAGTTGTTTGTTTGTTTGTTTGTTTGTTTTTTCAACCAATAACAAAAAAAAACTTGTTTCGTTTTCAGGTTCTGAATTAGCTTTAATGTATAATGATGAAAGTGTTTTAGAAAATCATCATTTAGCGGTAGCTTTTAAGCTTTTGCAAAATGAAGGATGCGACATTTTTATGAATTTTGGTAAAAAACAAAGGCAGACATTGAGAAAAATGGTCATAGACATGGTGAGTAAATTTTGATGACGTCATTGAATAATCAAATCGGATTATTGGATTATTAAAAATTTTCTCTTTATTTTTTCTTTTCCCTTTCTCGTTCAGGTATTGTCTACGGACATGTCGAAACACATGTCACTACTGGCCGATCTTAAGACCATGGTTGAAACGAAAAAAGTTGCTGGTTCAGGTGTCTTATTATTAGATAATTATACGGATAGGATACAGGTTTTAGAAAATTTAGTAAGAGAAATCTCGTCGTCGTTTTTAATCCTATTCGAAAGTACAAGTTAAGTTTTGCGGTCATTATTAATGATTTTTTTTTTTTTTTTGAAATTTCAGGTTCACTGTGCAGATCTGAGTAATCCGACGAAACCTTTAGATTTGTATAAAAGGTGGGTCGATTTGCTTATGGAAGAATTTTTTCAACAGGGTGATAGAGAAAGAGAACAAAATTTGGACATAAGTCCAATGTGTGACAGACATAGTGCAACAATTGAAAAATCCCAGGTACGCGTCATTCGCATTCATCGTTTTCTGTTTTTTTTTTTTTTTTTTTTTTTTTTTACAACGGTGGATTTTACATTATATGATCGTTTTCAATTTTCAGGTTGGTTTCATAGACTACATTGTTCATCCGTTGTGGGAAACGTGGGCGGATTTAGTACATCCAGACGCTCAAGATATATTGGATACATTAGAAGAAAACAGGGATTGGTATCAGAGCATGATTCCACCTTCGCCGCCGACGACCGATGTCGAACGCGAAGATTTAACGACGGCAGGTAAAAACTAAAAAGAAATGGAAACCAAGAACAACCACAAACCAAACCAAACCAAACCAAAAAAAAAAAAAATTTTGTGCCAAGCACGATGATAATGAAAAAAGATGAAAAAAGAAAAAAATGTTTTTTTTTTTTCCATCTTTAATTTTAATTTAATTTAAAAAGAAACCGATGGTTTTGTCAGGATGTGAAAGAAACGATGAAGATTCTGATAAAGAAACGGATGACAAAATGACCGGAAACGCGGATCAAATAAGATTTGAAATAACACTACAGGAAAAGGAAGGAGAAGAAGAAGAGGAAGGAGAGGAAGAAGAGGAAAACTACGGGACACCACCTAAAATGTGACGCTCATTCTTCTCAATATGTAAAAGAATTCATGAAAAAGTGTTTAGTTGGTGGAAAGCAAAATAAGAAAGAATGACAAAGAAATTTGAGGGGTAGTAGGGTGGGAATGGGATGGGGGTGGGGGGGGTGGAGAGGAGGAAAAAAACCAACAAAAAAAACCAAAAAAAAAAAAAAAGAAAATGAACGGTGCACGAATAACGTCACCTATTATTATTATTATTCACTTTTCAATTTTTTTTAT